ACAAAATTAGGTAGAAAAATTATTTCAGATAGACCTTCGATTAAAAAGTGATGATATGTATACAATTTGTTCATACTTTGATTTTAGAAAGATCATACTCACCGACCATAAAGAGTTCTAACTTTTGCATAATATAGATTTATGAGTTTTTAATAATAACAAAGATGTAAAATATCTAATTTGGTTTATTATTTCACCCATAATACCTTGTAACTGATCATGTAACCTTCAAGACATAATTCCTCCATTCATTTACCTACATTATCATCCACATTATTCTTATTCAATACAAAGAAGAATTTCTCTACTATAAATAGTGGCATTTCTTCCTTTGTGAAGGAATCTAAGAAAGATGAGAAGTGTGAAATAATATTGTAGTGTGTAGTAGTGAAAGAGAGAGTTAAGACAAAAAAAAAATTCTAAAGTCTTCAACTATAGACTATACAAAAGAGAGTAATATATGTTGAAGGTGTTCTTTTTGTGGAGCTTTGAACTCTTTAACTAATCCGAAATTGCTGAATTGGGATAGATTATGTCGCAGTGGGCTTGAATCTCCTTAAATAGAGAGATCTCTACGCCTCAACTTGATTGATAATTTATTTATTTTTTGTTTATTTTATTTTAACTGTAATTTAATGTATTTGTGATATATTACATCAACTCATTGTTAGAGGAATATATAAGGTTGTGCTATCTTGTTTCCGAGCAGTTATATATCTAAACAAAAGTGTTCTAAACTATTAATAAATAATTGATATGTTTAAGTAAAAATGTTGATAATTAAGCTGATATTTTATTAAAATAAATTGATTGACGTACACAAAAATTTGAGAAAATTATTTATTTTTTGTTGAGTCGCCCCTAAATGTTAAAAAAATGATGTGGAGAATGGTGAGGCTATAAGTATTTTTCCCCAGGTCATTACAGAGGGTCCTGTAAAGATTATGGAATTTTTTTTTCTGAAAATCATATTACAAAAAAATTCAATAATTAACACACGAAAAACTAAGAAAAACGTCTAATTCCTGTTGAGTGGCTACTAAAAAAATTGGTGTAGATCATAATGAAGCTATACGATTGTTCCCCTGATCATTATTGAGAGTCCTGTTTGCTTATGACTTTTTGTTAAGTTGAACTTATAAGAAGTTTGGTTTATACACCGATATTTACCAAAACGGAAATAAGGTAAAAATGTTTCAAATTTAGTTTGACTAGCATATAAATTTAGACTAACACTCTTTTAAGTTTTAGCTTATCACATTGGGTTATCAAATTAATATTATTATGGCGTTAAAAATGATACTATGTAATTGCTTGATTGTGTAGATATTTTTTTTACACTCTACCTCCGTAAAAACATTTATAGCCCTACTTTAACTCAACTTTAAATTTACTATATTATTTTATCTAGCTATTTAATATTAAAATTAATGTAAAAAAATAAAAATAAAATTCTCTTAATATATTTAAATGGACACATAAATTAAAATATATATTTTTATTATAGAGTTCAAATAATTTAAAACATGAGTAATATTGAATGATTATGTGAACTCCCCTAGTTTATAGTAGAATTGATCAAAGAATTTCTCTTCTTTAATATATCACTCCGCCCCTCCTGAATACGTATCGACCTAGAAATTCAAGACAAAAATAATAACATTTTATTCTTATATTAAACAATTACTTTTTAATAATATCCAATTCTTTTTATTAAAAATATTGTATCATTCAATAGTCGTTTTCACACTTATTGAAATAAAATATCTAAATTTTCATTTTTAAAAGTATAATAATTAGAAATTTTGTAAATTATTTTCTTAAAAAGATTACAAAATGCATACTAGGCAAATATATGTGAAAGGGGTGAATAGCAATATAATAGTGTACTCTCAAATTTCAAAATTTATGTATCTATCCTAAATAATCCCCACTCATTAACCTAATGTCCAAATTTAAACATCTTAAAATGTCAAATAAGTTATTACTCCATTAAAACTTTTGAATTTTGAAAAATTATGTCTTTATCCTAAATAATTTCTTCCCAATTACATAATGTCCTATTTTGAACATTCCAAAATGTTAAAGATTTTAATTTATCAACTAATCAGATTCTGTAATAAATGATTTACTGTATTTGATATTTCATTTGTGTATATATACAACATATATCCTTCACAAAAATTTCATGTCCAAAATCATCTCCATTTACAAAAGCTTCATATTCTCTAACAATGGCGCTCCGACAATACATAGCAAATAACACCCCTAATTTAAAATTTCAAAATTATCTCAGTGCCTCCGAATTGTTTCTTCAACAGAGAAACTTTGAAGATTGTCGTATTTATGCTCTTAAAGCCATTGAGATTGACCCAAATCAAATTGCCCCTTCACAAATCCTCTTCATAGCTAATATTTTGCTCCTGGTTACCACCACTAACAAAGGGCCAAATCACTATTTTATCCTCAATCTTCCTCTCTACACTCATAATCAAGAACTCATCAAGAACAATTTCATGTATGCATCGAATTTGTTAAACCCAAATTACAATCCATACCCATTTGCATCTGAGGCTTTAGGGTATGCACTCACATCTTGGTCTGTTCTTTCGAGCTCAACCCAGAAGGCCAATTTTGATGACGAATTGAAAAACAAGGAAAAAGAGAAAAATACTTTCGAGCCCAACCCAGAATCTTTGTGGTCCCCTTTTGTGGGGACCACAAAGATTAATGAGAATAACGTTGAGTTTGGGATTGGTGGTGGAAATACTAACGATAAAAATGATGCAAATGAGGTTATTGAAATTTCTGATGACGAAGAAGAGGATGAAAATGGAAAAAAAAGATCAATCTTTAAGGGTCGAAGAGAAATTTGTGGAAACTAATGGTGGGAAAGTGGATAAAGAAGAAGGTAATTTCAAGAAGAAGAGGATAAAAATGATGGGAAAGAGTTTAAATAAGGTTCTAGGAAAAGGGAACAAAGTTGACATGAATAAAGTTGTTTATCATGAGGGGAATGATAATTTTGAGTGTGATAACGTGGGAGAAAAGACTAACCTTGAGTTTGAAATTATGAAAGATAATAATATGGAGTCTGGAATTGTTGGAACAAAAAATAACAAGAATAATGTTGAGTCGGAAATTGTGGAAGGAAAGACTCACGAGAATGGTAATGTGGGTGAAACGAGTGAAAATAATTATTTTGAGAATAAATTTATGGAAGATGATGATGATTTTGAGTTTCTGAGAGAAGATATCTATGATCAAATGAAGAAATATTATGATATCGAGTTCTTTTGAGTAATTTAGGAAGTTCTCTCTTTCGTTAATTCATGTATTATTGATTTTGATGTTAAGATGTACTCAACTATGATTATTAATATATATCTTATCAAAGTAATGAGTTGAATTGGACTTCATGTGCTTGCAAACTAACATTGTTCCTGGCATGTTATTCAATATTTGTTTTTCTATTTGTAGGCCAATATAATTTTATTATTAACAAATATATAAATTCACAAGCGAACTTCATATCTTTCTATCTACATGTTCTCAGTAAGGTGAAGTTGAGTCATTTCTTGTGTAATTATCTTTTCTAGTTCTTTTCCGACCTATATTTACATCTCATAACTTTTGCTACAATCAACCTCTTACCCCTCCCTATTGGTGCATCCGCAAAATAGTATAATTGATTGTCTATATTGAGTTTAAATGATATTGTATTTATATTAAGTTTAGTGTTTACATTGTTATAACCTTAATTTGTAAGATCTTGGAATTAATTATTGGTATATTATTTGACATTTTTCACACCCAATTAATCTATCCAAACTTCAACATGAGTCTATATAATACTACTAGACTTTCATGTATTTTTCTTGAATTCTTACATGCTTCAGCATTCAAACTTTTCTTGAAGGAATAGAAATAAATAACAAAGGAAACGTAAGGATTATATAAAAAAGGTTTAACCAATAAAAAAAAAATTCCTAATTGAAAATATTACTAGAAATTAGAAGCTAGGAAAACACTTGAAATTTTTGAAAAGTCAAATCGAGAAAAGGAATTGTGATGAAATATAAGGAAACAATAACATATATTAATTAAGTGAGAACGATTTCTTTTATTTTAATGCCTTTATATTAAGATTTATAGTTTGTTAGTATTGTATTTATTTCTCTTTTTGTACTATCAAATTCAAATTTTCATTCAAATTTCTTTTTTGAAATTGAATTTTCCTAACTAATTTTTATTTTTAGTATAATAATTATGTTTACATTAATTGGGACGAGTAAAATTTAGAAAAAAAATAATGAAAAAAATAAGAAATTAGTGTCTATATAAACAAACAATGGAGTATTATATGTACATAGCAAAATTGAGTTAGGTTTCTGCAATATTATTACGTAAGTTTCTTTTCACCTTTGACTTTATATCTTTATAGTTATTTATTTATTTTCTTAAAGACTTATCGATGATTTAGTTTTTTATTAATTAACTCGGTTTCTTTTGTATTCAATAGTTATAAATTCAAGTCACTTTGATATAAGAATGTCATCCTCAAAGAGCAAAACAATTGACAAGAATATTTCTTTGTAATTTTTATTTTTTTTTATTAAAAAGTTGAGCTTATCTTTTATTCACTAACCTATAAATTTTTTATTTTTTTTTACATTATCAAATAATTTAATTACGATTATAAAATTTGTAACTATATTTATGCATGATGTAAAGATGTTAACACAATTAGTATATTTGATTTAAATCTCATATTGAGCGTTAAGTTTAATCTTTATTAAAGGCGATTCCATATTTAGAGAGATTCAAATTCAAGACTTCTGATTAAGGATGGAAGAATACTTACTCCTCCATCGGCCACCATAACTCCAGTTGTTCATTGATATTGTTGTTTCATATATATATCTTCTTTCTTTTTTATATAACACGTGAAAACTGAATATACATGATAAATAATTATCGACAAACTTAAAATTGAAAAAGGAAAAAACATACTGATATTTATTTCATTTTTACTATATCATTTCCATTACACATAACACATTCCACTTCATTAGGCTATGCTAGAACTTCAAATTAAAAACGTACGTACATAGTTTTTATTATTGACTAAATTACAAAAAGTGGATGGAGTACGTAGTTTAATTCGAAATTCTTTAATTTATGACGATATTCTTCATTTAAGGGTGGTTGACTCCATGACCGCCGCCTCCGTGACCTCCACCACCATGACCTCCACCTCCGTGGCCTCCACCGCCATGATGACCACCGCCTCCATGACCGCCACCACCATGACCGTGGCCTCCGCCACCGCCGTGGCCTTGTGTTTCAGCATTTAGTTGGCCTTCATTTGCTGCTACATATATATATACATACAACATAGAGTAATTAGACTGAACATGACGTTTAAGAAAATAAGAATTTTTTTGACACACAATCAAAATTGTATGTAGAAGCTAATTCAAAATTTTAAATTTACTAATTATTTCTGAATTCTAGAAATGAAAAGATAGCTTATTTCAACACAACTAATTATAAAAAGGATATCCTTAATTAGTTACGGATCAAATGTGTCATCACATTTTTATGATTGTAACAACATATTATCACGAGTAAAAAGAAAATTTTAACGTTAAAAACCTTCAAATATAGAAAAATATCAATATTCCTTTTTAGAACAGAATAAAAAAAAGTGTCACTATATAAAAAATAATGATCTTTAGCGGTAATTAATTAACAACAATAGCTTAATTGTCTCTAAATATGCACTTTTAGTCGCAATTAGCACTCGTTGTAAATGTCCTCAAAGCCTACACCGACATTAGATTCAATAACAAATAACTAATACCGATAAAAGATTTAATATATACTCTTTGTTAATATGTATGTTTGTTGCAGCTAAATGTTATTTTTGTCACAGTGAATCGTCGAAGTATATTCTATTTCTTGTCATAATTGCATGCATGAACTATATAAATATATTTAAATATGTAAGACAATAAATCCATATGTTTAAGAAAGTTAAAATAGCAATTAATTAAAAACTTTATATTACCTTTAGTCTCATCAACTGCTAGAGCTGAAACAAGAAAAAGTGAAGCACATATAAGTGCTAGCATAATAATTAGGCTATTATTGATCTTCATATTTTCTTTCACTATATATCCAACAAAGAAAGATTTTTGAGAGTACAATGGAATGATTTTCAACTAAACCTTTGCCTTAATTTATACCCAAAAAATCCCACTATAAGACAAAATCTTATGTGGTCTTGGTGGTGATCATGATTTAATTTTGACTCTAACCACTACTCCGGAACGTTTCATTTTACGTGTCTTATTTTGATATATGAGTATATAAAATTTAAGAAAGTAAAGTTATATTTATTAAATTTTATAATCTTAAATTAAAGTTATGCATAATATATTAAAATATCCTTGAATTTTATTATCTTTAATATACAATGTGCGATATCAGAAATAACCAATTTCTAAATATGAAAAGTTATAAAAGGAAATATACGGATTAATAGACAAAGTTAGAGACTCCCGATGGATTAACATAAGTACAAAATATTGATGATTTTCATTAAAAGTTTTCAACAAATAACCTATCAGAATCTAGTTTATCGATAACATTTTTGATGGATTATTCGTTCAATATTCTTTATTTACGAATCAAATTTTAATAAAATAAATTTTTAATAATGACACATAAATTAAAACGAAGAAATGATAAGTTTGAAAATAATTTTCTTAAGATTAGGCGTAAGCTACGTGGTGCATTTGATGTTTTACACATGGAATTTGAGATAATATTGCTTACAAAGAAATATTTTGTCAATATCTTCATATAGTCAATTTTGGTGTCGATCTTGAATTTCTTAAAAACCATTTTCAACATGTTGAAGTAAGCATCGAGATAATATTGGCTCCCAAAATATATGTGATAATATTGTAATTTTGTAATTAGACTATAATCTAAAAATCCATCTTTAACAAATTAAATTGAGAAAACATTACATCATAATCTAAAATATTTATAAATTAATGCAAATGTCAAATATAGCAGAATAGTTTGTTTGTAAAGTTATATAAATGAGTATTAATAGATCTGAATCCACCAACATGGGTTGTGGTGCATTGGTGGGAGTGTTTCACCCTTAACCTGAGGTCTCAGGTTCGAGCCTTGGATGTGGAGAAAATCCTGTTGGGAGCGTCACCCCCGAATAGGCCCTGCAGAGATAAAAAAGATCAGAATCCAACATAGTCTAGATTATATTTATGCAACTTTTACAAAATATAAATAATAACATTAAGAGACATTTGCGTATAATATATTAAAATATTTTTAAATCTTATAATCTTCAACATGACACGTTATAGTATTAGAAATAATGAATATCTTACTATCAAATGTTGCATTCTTTTCTATACAGATTTAAGACAAAAGAAAAGTAAGATACATACTATCAAAAAAACGTTTGATGAATTATTCATCTAATCGATGAACTAAATTATGATTTCGAAAAGTGTTTATTTTATTATTGTAACATATAAATTAAAATGGAGGATGAAAAAAACAAAGGTTAGGGTTAAGCTACGCTGTGCATTTGAAGGTTTTACACGTAAAATATGAGATATTAATGCTTACAAGGAAACATTTTGTCAATATCTTCATATAGTCAATCTTAACGTCGATCATATTATATCTCATTTTCAACATATTGAAGTAAGCGAAGAAGTGACGAAATCAGAAAAATTTTCAAAATCAACTCCAAAACAATATAGAAATGAAATTATGCTTGAAACTTAAACTTAGCTTGTGACATATATATATATATATATATATATATATATATATATAATGAAGGGCTTTTGAAAAGGGAGCGCATCAGATATACTCTTATACTATTAAAAATGATTTAATTATACTTATCATCGTTATATTTTCCGTTTAAATATGTCTTTTCCGTTATACTTTCAGTTCAAATATGTCCCCTCTTATTATATTTTGACACAAAATTGCCCTTAATAATTTTCTCCTACGTCAATGGTTGTATCGCTGATTTTTTACGGTAATTTTTTTATTTTTTTTTGGTGAGAGTAATCTATTAAACATATGTTTTTAAAAAATGGCTGAATTTCTTCTAATCAATAAATATGAGCTTAATTAATCATTATTTCATACTAATTTATCGTAAACCTGTATTCTTGACTGAAATTCCATATTATGAGTTAAATAGGTGTGTTTTAGGAAATCGAATATTTAAAATTAGTTGGTCATTTGATTTGGAGCTTGTCACATATTTTTTTCCATCAAAATTAAGGACAATTTTATATCAAAATATAATAAAAGGGGTATATTTAAATTGAAAGTGAAGAAGATAGATAAAAATAGATTTTGAATTTGAAAAGAAACTCTCATAATAATACAAGAGTGACGGTCAGACTTTCATTAAATATATTCAAATGACATTTCTTTGATTGTTAATAGAATCAGGTTGTTTGACAAGAATTTTAAAAATAACAATATGATTTTTTTTTAAAATTGTGATTTACCTAAAGAGATTGAAGTAAAAAATTTCCGTTCTACAAAAGTCTAAAAATCTCTCTAGCATCTCTCTTACAGAATTATTAATCAAAGAAAGCTTTCCGACAAAATAAATTGTTGATGAAACTATTTTTTAGAGGAAATTTAGAGTCCGGAGAATATAAAACACAGATATATGTTTTATTGCATATTTACTACATTATAATTTTTATTTAACTCATAGAACAACATTAGACTAGCGCTAGCTAGCTAGAAAGTTACAAAGACAGTCTGGTGCACTAAGTTCCCGTTATTTATTGTACGTTGTGCATTTAAGGGCGATTGACGTCATTTTGCATATTGTAAGCTGAATATTCTTGAGCAGTTCTACAACATTGTTTGCACCCTCCTCCTCGATAATATCTACCGCAACATCCGTATCGGCAATAATTGCCACCGCCTCCGTGACCACCACCACCTCCATGACCACCACCTCCGTGACAGTCGCGTCCGTGGCAGCCGCCTCCCCCGTCCCAACCATGGCCTTGTGTTGCATCATTTACTTGTCCTTCATTTGTTGCTACATACAACATATAGTATTTATCATTAGTGCATGGAACTATTAGTATCTCTTGATTACGTTGTCATATGACGATATTTGACTGAGTACTGAATTTTTGATAAAAATATATTATATTCGTCAAAAGAGTACAGTTTTAATTGTCGCCTCAAATACGTCACGATGTTTCTATAGTTAGTTGAGTGCATGCATAGGTGGAGGTAGAGTAAAAGATACGAATTCAATAAAGTTCAATAGCTTAATTGGTCTAATTTTGTATTAATTCGGATTCTAATAACTCAAAAAGATTGAAATCTAGAAATCTTGAATTTGTTTTCATCTTTAAGATGGACAAACATTTTATTAAAGGCGAAAATAAAAAGTAATTAACTAGCTATATATGTTTATGGAAGCCAATAGATCCATATATTTATGAACAATATAAATACTAGTAATGTTAAGATTTGTAAGGTAAGAAACAACTAAGTAAATATTAAATTCAAGTCTAACATAGTTCGTCAGAATTATATAATTTTTTGAGAGTTATATTTATAAAACCTTCAAAAAAACATATAAAATTTAAACGATAACTTAAAAAAGAGATATTTGCGTAAATCGACCTTTACCTTTAGCCTCATCAACTGCTAGAGCTGAAGCAAGAAAAAGAAAAGCACATAAAAGTGCTAGCAAAATAATTAGGCTATTATTGACCTTCATGTTTTCTTTCACTATATATTCTAACAAAGAAAGATTTTTGAGAGTGGAATGAAATTGGCTTTCAATTTAGCCTCAATTTATACTCAAAACATCTCACTACAAGACATAAAATCTTATGTATTTCTTCGTGAGGATATGGCTCTAAAACTCTATTCTCGACGTTTCATTTTATCTGTCTTATTTTGATTAACACAAAATTTTAAGAAAGTAAAAAAAAATTGTGATCTTTAAATAAAAATATGTAATATATATTAAAATGTCTTTAAATTTTATGTTCAGATCTTAAATGTGTCATGTATGACATAGAAATAATTAACGAGTTTCTGAATATAGAAAGTTACATTTTCTATAGGAATGCACTATTTCCCTCAAAATTTGACTTGCCAATAAGGAATTTTCAACTGATTAAGACACACTTTGAGAAGATCGATATTTTTTTTTTTTACTTTCGACATAAATTCCACTAGAATTTGTCTTTCTAGTAACATTTTCAATGGATTACTATCGAGTCAAATTTTAATAAAATGTATTTAAAATTTTGATAGTGAAGTGGTGGAACTGTTTCACTATTAACTAGAAGTCTCGAATTCGAGCTCTGAATATGGAGAAAATCATGTTGGGAGCGTCACCTTCGAATAGGCCCGGAGAGTGCAATTCAAATTTAGTCGAAGCTTCAATGCGAACTCTAGACACGGCCGGATGGAAAACCACAAAAAAAAAACACATAAATTAAAATGAAAGAATGTATAAATTTAGAAACGTTTATCCATTGGATGACGAACTGATTATGGAACTTGGAAGAAGAAAAGGAAAACAAGTAAGGTTAGGCTTAAGCTACGTGGTGCATTTCGAGGCCTTGCACGTGTAATATTGGTGCCGATATTCTTGGATTTTTTTGCTCATCATTGTCTACCGTAATCGCAGAAGAGACGAAGTCAAAAATTTTAACAAAATCAACTCCAAAGAAATATGAAATGATGTAATATTTGAAATTTGAATTAGTAACATAAAATATAACGTAAGAAATCATTAAAGCCATCTTTTTTATTAGGTGGAAAGTGCACCGATAGTCATTATTAAGACTCCAGTATAAAGAATAGTTGAAATTTTCTAAAAAAAAATAATAATCATTTTGCTTTGCTCTGCCTCTGGGCCCGAGAGCGAGGTTCAATGATTCCAGAAACTAATCTAAATATCATCGACAATCTAAGATTAGCTAAACTTTAAATAATTATAAAAAATTAGTAACAATATATTTTAAATAAGAGTGCTTAGTTTTAATCTTTTTGCTCTACTTTGGAGGATGAGATGGAGAGGGCACCTGGGTTTGAATGACGATGATATTCAGATTAGTTTCTGCACACTTTAATTATCTCCCACCAGTGTAGGTGTGAAATAGCCCTTGCAACCCTCTTTATATCCTCTCCTAAACTTATGCAATCCCGACTATCTCATTATATATCTTGCACCAGCACAAGTACTAGGCACATAATACATGTATCAATAAGTGTAGCTATTTTTTTTATTATATTAAAACTATTTTTCTTCATCAAATCCCTAATATTTCTGGCATATAGCAATAAGAGTATGATTAGGCAAAATGCTCGAATCCAATTATAAGGGAACACAAGAATAAACTAAGCTAAGATGACAAAAATACAATAAACAAATTCTGAATCCAAGGACAAATTTTGAGTGAAACATTTTATCATTTTAAACATATGAATCTATTGACTTAAATTAACATAGGGGGAAATTATGTAGTTACTTCTATAATTTCCACCTATATTATGTAAGCCAATAGATTCATATTTTTAAAAATAATATAAATATACTATAGTCTAAATCTTTAGTAAATATTCTATACATCACCTAATGTTTAGTTTGTAAGGTTAAGAAATATATGAGTAAGTATTAAATTCAAATCTAACATATTGTTCTATCAAAATTGTGTAATTTTCTAAAAGTTATATTTATAAAACATTTTAATAATAGGAATAAAAATTTAAACAATAACTTAAAAAAGAGATATTGTCTCATCAACTGCTAGAGCTGAAGCAACAAAAAGGAAAGCACACAAAAGTGCTAGCAGAATAATTAGGCTATTGAGTCTTAGTGATCTTTATAAGTAAAAGTTATTAGTATAATGTATTAAAATAACCTTAAATTTTGAGTGAATTTTAAATATATCACGTATGGTATAGAAATAATTAACGAGTTTCTGAATATAGAAAGTTTCATTTTATTAAAGAGACTAAGACTTATAAGAAAAATAAAACACATTATCATAAAATCGTTATTCTGAACTAATATACTAGTTCCTTTGAAATTTGACTCATTGGTAAGAGATTTCAGACTGATTAAAATACGCCACAATAAATCACTAATTTTTTTTCTTTTAACAAATGTTCCGCTAGAATTTAGCTTGGCAATAACATTTTGATCTACAATTATTCCTATATTTCAATTAACTTTGGTTCAAACTTTATATTATGTTTAAAAAAAGTCACTAACTTTGGTTGGACAGAAACTATAGGGGATTGAATCATTTTCCCCCTTACATGATCTTGAACGATCCTTAGTATAAGCTACTAACTTTTGTGGTTTGAGGTTGAGTAAAACCAGATTTATTTCTCAATATGATATTAGAGTCAAATCAACATGATATTGAGCTACTTTTACACGTTCCAAGCGTCTAGTCCTGAGCATGTTGAAGAAGTTAGAGTCCTACATCGGTATGAAATGGAGTTGTTAGCAATTGAGTCTTATATGGTGTCATGATTCGATCAAAATCTAGAATAATTATGTAATATGAACTAGAAACAAGAGTGATATATATCCAGACCCTATCCCACAATAAGGAGTTGCATGCAGGACTGGAGTTCTTTCTCGGATCCACAGAATTATCAGTTTTTGTCTCGAAAAACGCTCTTAGGGCACGGTCCACGAGGGGTTGGATATTGAAGGTTCCTTGGGATTATTAGAAGGAAAACTACATTGCTTCTCTCACAGATTTCACTTGCCAAATGTTGTCATTCTTGATGTCAATAAGGTTCTTTTTTATGACCATTGTGTTCGGACCAGCTTTCGCGCACCTCAATTAACTCCACAGGATAAGTATTCTCACCTAAAAGAATGGCTTAAACTTGAATATTTAAGCACCATGAAACAATAATAACATTGGCAGAACCAAGAAAATGCCAGTTACAAGCATTCAATTTCTTTAGCAGGAAAAACAATCCAAATCAGTCCAGAAAAAGAGTAACGGAAGTACAAGAAACAACATATAGTAACAAAAACAACAGATAATAACAAAACAAACAAAGCATCCATGTCTTATTCATGAGTATAGAAACAAAAAGTATGGGAAAGACTGTACAAGTATATATCTTCAAAAGTTGTATGAATATAAGAGAAATGAGAACAGACCACTCTCATGCTTGTGTCTCGACTATCCTATAACGACTCCTAATTACAGAACGAAGACTAAAAGAGACGGAAAACTCAGCTCATATATTGGAGTCAACAAGAGCAACGTTATGAACCTTTCAAGAATGAGCGGATGATATTAACCATCTCGACATGTAGCTTGCTTCTGAAGCAGAGGGTATTCCAGATCTCCATAAGTTCCAGCAGGATGGAACTAAAACCATCAGACAAAGTGATACGGAAAAATTCTAGCGTTTGTAGAATACAATGTCACGGCTGCAGTTGGCCTTAATAGCCTCTTCTAAACCTTGTACACGGTCAAAATCAGCTTTGAATGTCACCATGGTGACTCCATCTTTCCCAGTATCATAATCCTGCTTGATATCTTCTGCTTGGAACGACTGTAGCTGTGAATCCGAAACGAATTCCCAGAAATGCATCAATAGAAGTAAATGTGAACCAATTATGCTCTTGAAGCATCCAGATTTTGATTAAGAAAATGAACTGAAGAATCGAAAAACTAAAACTGAATATCGCAACATTGACACATATTAGAACTCCCTCCGTTTGAATTTGACTTGGCATGGAGTTTAAAAAAATAAAAGAATTTTTTTTGAATCCTGTGGTCTAAAACTAAAGATATGCAGAATGTACGAAAAAACACTCTAATCTTGTGGTCTTAAATATGTCATATGGAAAGTTGAAAGTAAAAAATTGCCAAAAAAAGACGGACAAACGCAAAGATTAGAATGGTAGAAGTTTTAGCACAAAAGATCAAATTTACCTGATGGTATAAGACTCCTAGTAGTTCAAAAGGAACCTCCAAGCCCATCGGCACCTAAAACCAAAAAGTATTACTTAATCAATGAATCAGTCTCAGGTTTATACTAAAAGCTAAGAACGCAGTGAGAAGAATAGGATCAACGTGCAGTTGAAACTATGCCTATACACGATGGGCAAGGGAGGACGGGGGATAAAAGCTGCTCAAGCAATTTATTACTTTAGATTTTATGAGACATGTAGGAGCATTTCTCAAGCATTCTGCAGCTACTCCTCCATAAGCTCTTACTAGACCTCCAGTGCCAAGTTTAATTCCTCCGAAGTGCCTGCAATTCAGAAAAGCAACACGATAAAGATATATGCATGATTTCACTTCTTGGAAACGTTCCCAGTTTGGGCACATGAAACTTTTTAGGCCTCAAGAAAAGATGCAAGTCTAGTTTACATCTCCTTTGACAAGAATTCTGAAAGTACTAACACTATTTACTGAATAAATGTGGTACCTGATAACAACCACCATGATTCTATCCAATCCAGAGGATGCAATTGCAGAATGTATCGGCTTGCCAGCAGTACCAGATGGTTCGCCATCATCATTAGTCCGATATTGTTCACCAACCTAAATAGAACGAATAATAACATTTTTGGCATGGTAAGATAAGAAACAAGATGATATACACACATTCGGAGAATCCTAAAACTAGAGAGACTTTGTTTCTTATATGTCCATATAATAAGCAGTTGTTATCATTACGGATGGAAGCAATTATAACCCAAAATGCTAGTCACTA